TAGATCACATCTACTTTCTGTTTTATTCTTTGAAAGTGATACTAAAACAGTAACAATAAAAAGAACTCAATCAATTAATACCAGTAGTATAATCTTCAATATCAATATCTTCAATCTCGTCGTCATCTTTAAAAATAGCGTCAGGGTTTAATTTAACCACACCCCTAGCTCCACCCACTATCCCTGAAGTATAATCAGGTTTGACATCAGGTAAAGAATTCTTAATAGATACCAAATGACCATACTAATAATGAGAACAAAATACTAATTATTATTATTATTATTTGTTAATTACTTTATTTTGTGCTATTTTAAAAAATGATGTAAGGTCACGTTGGGCTGGACCAAATTTATCGTATTTTTGAAGTTGAGGTCTTAACCAAAGAGGGAGATCATCCTGTCCCCTTGAATATGCAAACCTATTAAAACACTATAAATAATGTATACATGACATGCACACCTCTTTCTCTTCCTCTCTCTTTCAAAGTCTCTCCTTCATTCATCTCTCTGTCCCACTCTATCCCTCTCTCTCTCTCTCCCTCTCCTCCCTCTCTCTTCCTCTCTCTCTTGCCTTTCATCACAAAGGATGATTGCTCCATAGTCATTCTTGTGTCTAATAACTCGTCCAATGGCCTGATTGACAGCACGTGTAGCCTGTTGATTGTACCATTGCTTATCAGTTATTAACTATAAGACAGAGAGAGAGAGAGGGAGGGTTAATACAGCTGCTTATAATACAATAGTTTACTTCAGTTCGATTAAAATTTGATCTAGCATCTTTCAAATACTCCATTTTGAGCTGGACCTTGATAATTAAAAAATAATAAAGAATTATAATACATGTACATGTACATGTACATGTATATTAATAATACTTTGGGTTCAGCAAAAGGTGGATAAGGTAGTCCGGTAATGATGACAGCTCGTCCATTATTATCAGCAAAATCCAACCCCTCACTGACTTTCCCTCTACACACTCCAAAGAAAGCTCCACCCACTTTATCGGCTGATCCGATCTTCTCATAATAAGCACTCATGACCTAAAAACATGTACATGTACATGTATCACATGACTGTCATGTGACTAGTATTAATTAGACTTACAGAATTAAATTCATTTTTAAACTTTGGTTCTTTGAATACTTGCTTATGTTGCTCCATTCTCATGAATATGCTGCTTTGCTACATGTATGTGTACATGTATGACATCATTATTGACCAATAAAATTGCAGTGTTCTTACCTCCTTCCAGTGGGTGACAAGGGTTTCCATGACAACATATGAGGGAAAAAAGACCAATACCCCATCTGGTATGATTCTAAAAAAATTAACTAAAAATATAAAAATTAATAATCAAAATATTTAGGAGTATTTTTTCTTTAACATGTACCTAATGTGTTGCCTAGACTATCCATGTAAGCAGGTGTAAATCTAAAAAATAAAAAATTCTTAAAAATAACAATTCCCTTTTCTTCTCTCTCTTGCCTTGTTTGGTAAGACGAGTTTAAGTGAATGTTATCTGGTCCTTTGGAGACCACACCTATCCACACTTGATCCTGCCCAATGACATGAGAACCCTGTAGACTCACAGGAAATTCCCTAATAATGATAAATATACTTCTTTTAAAAAGAAGATTGAGTATAATAGTACATGTATACATACAACTATACTATAGTACACAGTTTTTGGCCGAATTTCGCCAAAAATAAAAAGGAGATAATTTTCTATTTTTATAATGTTTTCTGATACATATACATATACTTATGTTGTGTAGAAAGTTTAAACAGATTTCAATGAAAATTATTTTTTTATGAATTTTTAAAGTTGCTCCAAAATCGGGCCAAAGTCCCTCTACTATAGTACATGGTCTCAGGTCAAATTTCGCCAAAAATGAAAAGGGGAGAATTTTCCATTTTTATAATTTTTTCATATACATATACATGTACTTATGTTGTGTAGAAAGTTTAAGCAGATTTCAATGAAAATTATTTTTTTATGAATTTTTTAAGTTGCTCCAAAATCGGGCCAAAGTCCCTGTACTATAGCACACGGTCTTTGGCCAAATTTCGCCAAAAATGAAAAGGAGAGAATTTTCCATTTTTATAATTTTTTCTGATACTAATACATGTACTTATGTTGTGTAGAAAGTTTGAGCTGATTCCGATCAAAATTAGATTTTTTACAAATTTTTAAGTTGCTCCAAAATCTGGCCAAAGTCTCTAACCCATAATTTTTTCTTTAAAATGGCTCCAAAATCATTGCAAATTTTTATTACATTTTCTGATATATTAATGTCCTTATGCTATGTAGAAAGTTTGAGACAAATATTTGAGCTCCAAAATTTTTTAAAAGATTCAATTTTGCTTGCCAAGAATTAAAAGAGATTGCCAGGTTCCTAGCAGTTAGGGGCAGCAAATGTTGTCTTGATCAATAGATATTGTTAATACACTGTACAAAAACTTCTACTGATTACTAATGATGTTGACAAAAACATACGATTAAATTTATCAATTGTAATTGTATAAAAACTTTTTCTTTGCATTAACATATCTCCCCCAATGTAAATTTCGTCCCTACTCCACTGCATGCATTATTATTATATTAGACCTCCAGTAGCATTACTAAGTAGGATTCACTCCACTTCAAAATGGCTGCCACAAATTTGGAGCATTGCTACACTGGGAAAACAAGCTCCTATGCTTACTGGCTTCTTTAAGGATTCACCAGTGCAACTTAAAACCATGTTTATGAAGCAAAGTCAAAAATGAGCAAAACTGCCTTGTTTTGCTCAGCTACTTGCAATGTAGAGTAAAATTTGTATCACAAGACTAGCATTGTCATTGGTAATGTATGGACAGTCAGTGATTCAAAATCATTCTGAATGACTGACTATCTATACTAACGACAATGTTAATGCAAATTCTAAATTATACTGTAACAGGTGACCATTAATCATTAATGTAGAGCAGAATTAGTTAGTTGGAGGCTGATCTATGCATATGCTATAATATTACCATACATTGTATTTCCTTAAATAAAAGCCTGGGTATCTATTTCTTAAAATGGCATTTGAACCTCAATAATTATTTTTAAATAAAATAAAACTTGAGCTAACAGCTAGATTCGAACCAGTGACCTCACGCACAAGACTTCAGGAAGCCTTAAAAAGTATCTACAAGGCATCTATGTTATTTTAAGGTTAGATTTGTATAATCATAGTTCAATTTTATTGCAGCCCTAGCGTTTATTCGCACCCGCGCTTTAATTAGAGGATATACGGTATAAGGACAATATACTGGCTCATGTTCTATCTACTCATATAAATCAATTCAACTTAATACTCAATATATTATAAGTACAATTGTACTTTTTTCTTTCTCCCATTGTAAAGTGACTTTGTTTTTAAAATTGTTGGTGCTTTTGGGAAAATAACTTATTATTATTGAAATTGCAATATACACAAGTACATGAAATCAGTTTCATTGCCTGCTTCTTCACTTTTGAAATCAATTTCTTCAATGACCATGTTTCATAAACAATAATTATACTCTTTTAAATGAACTCATTGATAAAAATTTATAAACAAGTGATGTAGTTACTTAAAAAGATAATATATCCTTTTACAAATATAGCATGACAGCTTTAGTAGCTTAGAAACCATTTCTACAATATCTATAATCATAAAAAAATAATTTTAAAATTACAACAAAAAAGCCTCATTGACTGGACTTTAGACAGATGCACTCTTTAGTTACAAATGATGAATAACTATAAGTTAATGATTATATACAACAAACATAAAACAGTGGATTTCTGTCACAGTGGATTTCAATTTTTGTGTTCAAACATTTCTTATAACCGTGCGATGAAAGTCTCAACTTATAGGTTTTGAAACATATTCCTTCCAATTGCAATGACGAACCCAATCATTCCACTTACACAGTGTTGAAATGCAAGTAAAATATGCAGTAAGCAACTAAGCACTGTATCAGACTCTCCTCCTGTTGGGGTAGGATCTGCGTGACTTAATTTATCTGACAGAAAGCTGTCAATACCGTATACTGGGATATTTTCGCATCGCTAAATTTTCGTGAATACTGCATTTGTAAGATTTCATGAAATAATATTTTCGCGAATAGCTTGTAAACTCACCACGTGGCAATGTAAATTCAGAATTTCACGATTTTTATTTTCGCGACAGAGCAAAAAAATGCGAAATCCGCAAAAATTTGGCTACTCGAAAATTTCCCAGTATACGGTACTACGTTGTGATGAATATCATTATAAAGTTGATTACAAAAACATACCGTATAGCTAGAAATTTCTGTGGCCCAAAATTTCTGCGAATTGCCACAGTCAAAAAATGGCTTTTAGTGCGGATTTTATTCTTGCGAATTCACTTGATCAGACTACTGATCAATGGCTGCTCTTCACTACTTACCAGAACTATAGTTGATGATGACACAAAGCTCTATCCGGATATTAGGCAAGATAGGATTACTCTTTGACTCTGCTTAAAATTGTACTGGAACAGTGCCAAGAACACGCCATGTGCTTCACTATAATTACAGAAAAAAGGCGTGGCGAGCCACACCTTTTACTTTACCTATTTTTTGAGGATTTAATTATTTTTGCGATTTTGTTAAAATTCGCAAAAAAATTTGGGCCACAGAAATTTCTAGCTATACGGTAGCTACTAGCTGCTGCATAACAATAGCATAAGCTACATGCTTCCAATTCACTCACTCTGAAGGACATCTGCTACCTTTAAGCAGCCTGACAAAATCTAACACCAGAATGGCTGAAAGAAGTCTTTCTCTCACTCCTCTTCTCCCTCCTAACAGCTTGAGTTCAGTTATGAATGGTAAACCAGTTCTTAAGACTGTGTGTGCTATAGTGAGGACAGACAAATGGCATCAGTTGGGTCTACAGCTAGGAGTTGATGACAAGAAGCTCCAAGAAATTGATTCAGAGAGATCAGATACACAAGAAAAAAGAACACAGATGTTTCGTGCTTGGATCAGTAGTCAACCAGGAGCTAGTCACAATCAACTGGTTGAGGTACTGAGACTCAAAGTAATAGGAGAGGACAGAATGGCTCAGGAATATGAAGAAAAAGTGAAGGAGGAAGCATCTAAAACCACAGAAACCACTGAAATAGGTAATTCATGAAGTGTAAAACAAATTTGTCACAATAATTAAATCACATTCACATTTTTGTTATTTACAGGAGCTCAAACTAGTATGGAAGAATTATCATTTTCAACAGAACCTGCTTGGAGCACAATCACAGGTACATCATAGTTGTGCACTGTGATGACCATACAATAGCTACAAAATCACATTTGCTATAAATGAGCATCTATTTCTCTTTCTTTTTCCTAGTTGTCACTTCAATGCATCAGAAAGCATCACAGTTAGATCTGCTAACAGTGCAAGCCCTTCAATTGGAAGAAAAATATCACCAGTTCCTTCAGCAAATACACACACTGTCACAAAATGCCAATGTAGAAATAGTTAAGATCCAGCTAATAGCTATATTGCAAGGAAAGTGTCTTAATCAGTCGCATGGAATTAGCTCCTACTTCAAAGTAATCGATAAAATTACAAGCATAAATGAAGTATTTAAGTTCCTCGTTAAAAATTATTTCGTTGGTTACCTAAATTATAATCTCCTTAAAAAATTTTCAAGTGAAGTTATATGTGGAGATGGGTATGAAAAGGCACAAGCTGAGGTAGTAGAGTACGAGAAGCACTATTGTAAGTTCATTGAAGAGCCTGCCTTTTATCAACTGATTGAGGTTTTTGATGAGAACCCTCATCTAAACCCAGGCACTGTCGTAGGACTACCAATTGTCATTATTAGTCTTTCACAAAAGTGGAAAACCCGAAATAAAAAAGAATTAAATGAATGGGTACCTTTTCTAAAAGATAATGAGCACCTACTCCAAAGTATCGGCTACAAATGCATACTAATTACTTATGCTATTTTTCCTGTTCACCTCAGTGCTCAAAGTTATGAGTTTCCTAAGCAATGAAGAACACATGAAACGACTTAAAGAAAACGGAATAACAATCGAAACTCCTTCATATACAATGGAAATAGCAGAGAGACTCAGAGAAGTATCAACAGAAGAGTTGGCAGAGGAGGAAGAAGATACCTCAGATGAAATGCAGCGTCAACACTCCTTATTGCTGGAAAAAGGAGAGAGGATTGAACAGGAACATTTAGAGATTCAACAAAAGCAGTTAAGGGACAAGGCATTGTTAAAAGCTTCATCAAATAAACCTTCTCAAAAGGCCTTCTCAAGTGGCCGTGATAGTGGTTACTTTTCACAACACACCTCCCCGCACACAAAGACCACAACACGGCACCTCCCGGCCTCATCAGTGCCACTAGTGTGATGAGACATTGATGGCAGGAAATTGTTCCCCACCATCAATGCCAATTGCCAAGGCACTATTGTACTGTTGTGCTTCAAGAGCACAACAGTGCAAGTACATACAACCATGACTTTTGTGCAATAATTATTTAAAGATAAATCTTAACACTTAGAATTTGCTGATCTTGATTTACATACCTATTAATTTACATATCTATTTACATATTTACAATTATCATTATTTTTGTTGTTGTTATTTATATTTTACACATATTTTCAAAACTGTAAGTACAAAGAAGTATGAGAGTTCATGCATGTACCTATTACAATGGAATAAACGAGACACCATAGATATTAGAGTAAATGAAAGGGATTGGAAACTTCCGTTCGCGGCAGGAAATGCTAGTTACCCATACCATAATAATTTCCCTATTTATAGGATTTTTTCAATTTTACGATGGGATTATTAAGAAAATTATCAAACATTATGGAATAGTACAACTTCATAATGGTTTTTCTCAAATTGTGTTTTTGTCACATACATTAAAGTATGTGCGTGCCCTCAAGTGTACATCAAGCTTTGCTTTCATATCACATTTAAATGTGCCAATCATTGAACTGTAAAGAAAAAGGTACAAAACAAAGGTCTTTGCAAAAACTTTGAATTGATTATAAATCAGTCACCAAATCTGTCATCGGAGTCATTTATGTTGTGTGCCCTCCATAATAATGTATAGAATAGTTGGTAATAGTTAAATCTGTAATGCCTTTAATTATCATTGCAGAGGATGAACACAAGTCACTTTAGAGTTATGAGTTGAAATAGGACGCCGAACAGTGAAGGAAAAGGCCCGAGAAGGGTAACTTTACTAACTTACCTATGTTGCTAGGCAACCTAATAATCTTAATGAAATAATCCGCCCACGCAACGGAAGTTTCCTATCCCTTTCATTTACTCAGATCTATTATATCTATGCCTCTTGTGATGTCACGTTTAACCACACCCACTGACAGGAAGTAGTATGGCAGGAAGCAAAAATAAGCATCTTTGAGAGCTCATATCTCAGTGAATAAATTTTTTGGACAGTAAAACTGAATACACATCACTAGTATGGTCAGGCAATCATATTAAGCCAATAAAAAAATACCCTAAAAATACATGGTAGTTACCCTTTAAAAAATGGCTCCAAAATCACCGACAATTTTTATTATATTTTCTGATACATATTGATGCCCTTATGTTGTGCAGAAAGTTTGAGCTGATTCTAATACAAAATTTTTAAGCTATGACCATTTTTTAAAATGGGCCAATTTTTGAAAAATACTCAAGGCTATAGACCATGGTTTTTACAGAAAATTGGTTCCAAAATCACCCCAAATTTTTATTACATTTTTTGATACATATTGATATCTTTATGCTATGTAGAAAGTTTGA